AAAAAAAAAAAAAAAGAAATCCACTTTTTAATTGAGGTACAACTAGCATACAGTAAAATGCATAAATCTTAAGTGTATAGCTTGATGATTTTATGTATATGTATGTATGCCCGCACATGCACGCGTGTGCGCGCTCACACACACACACACACACACACACTCCTGCAACCTCCACCCAGATCAAGATTTAGAAAATCTCAGCTGAGGGCGGTGGCTTACGCCTATAATCCCAGCACTTTGGGAGGCAGAGGAAGGCGGATCACTTGAGGTCAGGAGTTCAAGACCAGCCTGGCCAACATGGTGAAATCCCATCTCTACTAAAAATACTAAAATTAGCTGGGCATGGTGGGGGATGCCTGTAGTCCCAACACTGGAGAGGCTGAGGCAGGAAAATTGCTTGAACCCGGGAGACGGAGGTTGCAGTGAGCCAAGATCGCACCACTGCACTTCAGCCTGGGTGACAGAGCGAGACTCCGTCTCAAAAAGAAAAAAAGAACATCTCCATCTCCCCTGAGGCCCCCTCAGTTAAAAATGACCTGCACCCTCAAGGGAATCATCATTCTGACTTCTATCACCTTAGATTAGTTTTTGCCTGCTCTAGAGCTTCAACTATAAGTGCAATGATAGTGTGCCCTCTTTTGTGCCGCTTCTTTTGTTGAACATGATGAAAGTGATCCATGTGTGTGCAGCAATATTTCATTCATGCCCACAGCTGTGTGTAATCCGTTGTGTGAATGCACCATAATCAGTTTCTCCATTCTCCTATTGTTAGACATTTGGATGCTCTCCAGTCTTTGGCCGTTACAAATAAAACTTCTGTGAATGTCTCTGTCCATGTCTTTTGGTGCACTCATTTGTGATGGAGAGACACCCAGGAAAGGAGCTGCCAGACGGCAAGGAAAGAATACATTTAGCTTTACTAGGTCTGCCAGGGTTCCCCATGTGTTTGTACCAACCTGGTCTTCCACCAGCAGAGTAAGAGAGTTTACAGTGACTTCGCATCCTCACCAGCACTTGACATTATCACCACCTTTAATTTGCTAGGATTCCAAGTAGCTGAGATGGTTTTGAACTTGGGTTTGAATCCTAGCTCCTGCTCTTC